TCTTGTTTGTTTTCTCTCTCTCCCCCCCTCTCTCTCTCTCTCTCTCTCTCTCTCTCTCTCTTTCTCTCCCTCCCTCCCTTCCTTTCTCCCGCCCTCCCCGTTGAAACGGGCTCGGGGCAGCCCACACAGAAACACAAAATAATCATAAACATAATATAAAACAATCATTTAACATCGTCCTAAAACATCAGAACATATTAATAAAACATTGGAACAGAGTTCACAAAAGTGAGAGCAAGATTATTTACAAAACGACTCAGGCAGCCGTATATTCCAATGATGTTCTGCCTATCATCAGGTTTTATGCATGGATTTATGGCCGTTCAGGGGTGACTTCGCAGTCAGTATGGCATTGCCCCAGGGTATCTGAATGTGGTTTCGAGCCATGCCTTTTCCTCAGTGTTGAGAAAACGTGGAGCGAATGCCAGATGCAGACTCGCCCACTGCGGAAATGGTGGTGGAGAATAATTGGCAAGGGAAATAATCTCTTTTTGGGGGTCTGTGGGCAACTGTACTCTGGCCCCTGTAAGTCCTGCCAGTGCCGATGGTTGCGCTCTGCTCCCTTCCGCCCAGTTGCGGTAGAACCCTGGAATCATGACTGATCTCCAGACCAAAAAAGATCCATTCCCTGGAGTCGATGGCGGTAAACTGTGCTGAGATCCCTCCCCGAAACCCTGCCCACTCCTAGCTCCACCCCCAAGCCTTCAGGAGTTTTCAGACCCAGAGTTGGCAACCCTAGATAGATGTCACGGGGTGAGCTAGGCAGGGGCCATTTCCTGTAGGAGCGCACAGGAGCGGAGCTCCGGCAGTAAAGAGCCCAGGGGGCAGGCACACGCAACAAACCCCACCCCCTGCTCCCAGCAGCCCTCAGTCAGAGCAAGAAGCAGCCAGGTAAGTTGCAGAGGCCCCCCTCCCGGCCCCCCGGTCCAAAACAGTCCAGTGGCACCTTTAAGACCAAGCTTTATTCAGGTACAAGCTCTCCCTCCTCTGCGAGGACAGATCTGCACGTTCCAAATAGCTACCATCCAAAAAAGTCCAGTGGAGCCTGAGTGGTGAGTGTTGCCTTCTGACATACTTCTGGTGATGTCAGGGGGTGTGGCATATGCAAATAAGTTATGCTAATGAGTTATGCTAATGAGCTCCTGCACCTCTTTTTCTACAAAATGACCCCTGGAGCTAGGGGATGAGCCGGTCACTCTCTTGCCGCTCAACCTGCTTCACAGGGCTTTTGTAAGGACAAAACAGAAGAGAAGAGCCATCTACGCTGTCCTGAGCTTCTGGGAGGAATAGCGGGATAACAATGAACGTGACAGCCCAGGTTTCCTGCTGTCGTAGGAGGTTGTCCGGTGTCACAGTGTGAGTCTGTGTCCTTCCCGGATAGGATGGAAGTGGATCCCTCCCATTAGCGTTGCCGACTCTGGCTTGGGAAATCCCTGGAGATTTGAGGGTGGAGCTTTGGGGAGGAGCGGGGTTTGGGGAGGGGTGGGACCTCAGTGGGGTACAATGCCACAGAGCCCACCCTCCAAAGCTGCCATTTTGTTCAGGGGGACTGATCTTTGTGGTCTGGAGAGTTTCCAGGCACCGTCTGGAGTCTGGCAAACCTCTCCTTCACGATGTGCATGGCTGAGACTTATATACTAAAAAGTAGGCTCTACGTTTTCACCGTGCCCCCAGTTTTAATCCAGCAGCCTGCCCGGAGTTGTCCCTGAAGTTCGGAAAACACGGCCCTTTCTAAATGCCCGTGTTGTCTCGCTGTGTGGTGTGTCAGCTCGGCCACATCCTGTTGATGCGGCTGAGCAAAATATATATATTCCCAAATGAGTGGCCCGGCCGTGTTTTGACAGAAACCAGAACTGCACACGTCACCCAGCGAAATCCCCTTCCACCGAGCTGGCGTGGACTCATCGGCCCGGCGGGTGGAGGACGCACAAAATCAGCCCTTGTGTGTGTGTTTTTTTTCCAGCCAGCTCGCATAAGGCCTTCTTTTTTTCCGGTCAGATTCCTTTGCGAAGAAAAGTGTGTTTGTGAGCACAGGGGCAGGGCCTGCGTGTGGAACTTTCTGCTGTCAACAGGCAGGGAAACAGAGCATCATGAGCACTGGCCGAGGGGGGAGTGGCGGATGGGATATGGGCGGTGTCTCTCTGCCTGGGCAAAGTGAAACCAAACACCGTTCCGTGAGCTGTAAGGCTAACAGAGCACTGATCCTCCTGACCCACCCCCCTTGCCTCCAAATTCTGCCTCCCCCCCCCCAAGTGTATAAAACCCTTTGCTCCTTTCCTTTGCTTGCATTTTCCTCGCAAAGAGACCAGCTTTTGGGTAAGTGGGGGTTCTCTCTGCATAGGGGTGGGCCAGGTCTCGCAACAGGGTGTGACCTGGGGGGGTTGTGATGTCGTCTGCGTGTGTGTGTGTGTGTGTGTGTAGATGCTTGAAGGCAGATAAAGAGATTTCGTAGGCCGTGAATCACCTGGAAATGCACTAACGAACTGAACCTTTCTCAGTGCTTATAGAAGTTGCCGAACGCAGAAATTCTCTCTTGAGGTGCCGGAGGAAAAGACGGACCGCTTGCAAGCGAATGAAGACGTCAACTGGTGGTCGTTAGAAGGAAAAGGCACTTTTAAATAGACGTCGGCTGCGGTCACACACACGGAATAATCCGCTTTCCATCCACTTCCAGTGCACTTTCCAACTGGATTTTACGGTGGGAGCTGGCAAAATCCAGTTGGCATTGAGAGTGGATGGAAAGTGGGTGATGTAGTGCATGTGACCGCAGCCCTAGACCAATGTTCCCTCTAAGCTGTGGAGTCCTCTGAGCAGAAATTCTACTTTGTGAGCCACTGACATTCAAGTTGTGAGCAGGTGATTTGGCCACTGCATAAATTAGTTTGCTCTGGAGCCCTCCTTCCTGAGCTAAGAGAAAAATGTGTGAGCCGGAGGCTAAAAAACTGTGAGCCAGCTCACACTAACTCAGCTTAGAGGGAACACTGCCCTAGACATATCCTAACAAGACTAGAATCATAACGGCCACGAGATATGGCTGACAACCGCTGGCTTAAAAAGAAAAGAAAAGAAAAGACTCAGACATTCATGGAGAGTTATTTACGGTGACTATTCATGATCAACAAAACCTCCATGTTCAGAGGCAGTCTACCGCTGATTGCCAGGTATGGGGGGGGGACATGAAGAGTGAGCTACTACTTTCAAGCTGTACTGCATAGCTTCTCAAACACATCTGGCTGGTCGGATCCAGTGGGGCTTGTAAATAGACCGTTGATTCATAGCGCCACTGATTGCGAATTTACGCCTGGGCACGCTGAAGTTTGAAGTAAGCCCAAACTGGCTCACAATAACTCAGCTTAGAGGGAACACTGCTTTGTAGCCCTGATTAGGATCTACCGATGTCTTTACTATCATTCTAATAATTGTTTTTTTAATTTGAATTTTTTAAAAAAATTAAAATATTTATGTGCTGCTTCTCAGTCTAAACTGTTCAGTGTAGCTCATAATGGCTGTTTTTAAAGTTCCAAGATGGATGGAGGAAGGGAGACGGAAAGAAAAGGAATTCAGGCAATTTGGAAAAAGGGAAGGTCAGAGATCCATTTTTATTTTATGCATCCTCTCTTGGACGAAAGGGAGACATTCTTTACAGCTCAACACATAGTTCGGTCCCACGTTTTCCTGTGCTGTACTCAGTGCTAGAAATTTCGCACAAAACTGAAAGCTAGCACTCAAAATTTCGGACACTCCAAGATCCTGCATAATAATTGTTATAGATTCAGGGGGGAGGGGTAGCAGTGTTCCCTCTAAGCTGAGTGAGTGTGAGCTAGCTCACAGTTTTTTAGCCTCTGGCTCACACAGTTTTGTCTTCGCTCAGGAAGGAGGGCTCCAGAGCGAACTAATTTATGCAGCAGCCAAATGGCTCGCTCACAACTTTAATGCCAGTAGCTCACAAAATAGAATTTTTGCTCACAAGACTCCACAGCTTAGAGGGAACATTGGCTGGGCAGCCTTGGTCTGAAGCAATAGAACAAAGTTTGAGTCCGGTGGCACCTTTAAGACCCACAAGTTTAATCCTGGATATAAGCTTTTGTGTGCATGCACGCTTCTTCAGATACATGTGTGTGCACGCACACAAAAGCTTATACCCAGAATTATACTTGTGGGTCTTAAAGGTGCCACCGGACTCCAACTTCGTAATCATTGTTATAATTGCAAGTTTGATGAGTCTCTATCTGTCAGAAAGGCCAACCTTACAGCCACGCTTCCTATCCCAGTTCCCACTTACAACCTCTCTCGTCCTACAAACAAGCTTGGCGGCTTGAAGTTAATGATGATGGTCTTGGTCTCCTCATGTGCAGAACGAGGAGGATGATCATGTTGGCCCACCTCTTTTTTCTTTTTTTGCCATCAAGTCGCAGCCGACTTATGGTGGCTCCATGGAGTTTTCAATCATGAGACATCCAGAGGTGATTTGCCATTGCCTGCCTCTGCGTAACTACCCTGGTATTCCTTGCTGGTCTCCCATCCAAGTGCTAACCTGGGCCGACCCTGCTTAGCTTCCTAGATCTGATGAGACTGAGCTAGCTTGGACTATGCGGGTTAGGGCTAGCCCACCTTACAGCATCGTTTTAAGGGCTGCGGAGATGACATGCCAAAAGCTTTGTGCATTGGAAACATTTGCTTATTTACTTCCTTTAGAGTCGCGCCCTTCTCCCCAGTGGGGACCGAAGCTGTCTGCATCATTCTCCCTTCCTCCGTTTCATCCTCACAACAACCCTGGGAGGTAGCTTTGGCTGCGAGTGACAAGCCCAAGGTCGCCCAGCGAGCTTCCATGACAGAAGGGGGATTCGAACCTGGGTCTTCCAGATTCTAGTCTCGTACTCGAACCGCTACACCATGCCATTTGTGAAATACTAGGCATTATGGTTGCTACACAACGAGAATAGTAAAAATGACTCATCCGTAAGGTGCGGTCCCTGCCACAGCCCTGGGCTCCTTTTGTTTTCATTATTCTTTATTACTTTTAGTGGTTAATATCTTTGCACCATCAATGTGGGTAGCGTTTGACAGAGGAACTGAGCGACTCTCTCCAAGCAGGAGGGATGTCACACAGGCAGGCAGGAAGGGCTGGGCAGGAAAAAGAAAGGGACTCTGCTGGGCAGCTGTGCTACTGGGCTGGGGAATCAGAGTTTGCCTGGAATGGTCTGCCTCAATTCCTTCCTGCCTGCCTCCCACTCTGCTTTCCTTCCTTCCTTCCTTCCTTCCTTCCTGCCTGCCTGCCTGCCTGCCTGCCTGCCTGCCTGCCTGCCTGCCTGCCTGGATGAGACCAAAGATGTGATTTAGCCAGTAACTGGGCAGGGAGATGGTGCCCTCCCCCTTATAACCTATTTGCCTTCTTTTGTTCCTTTATTCCTCTCTTCTTTCTTGCTTTCCTTCTTTCCTGTCTTCCTCTGTCCCTCTCACCTTGCTTTTCTACCTCTTTCCATGGCTTCCTTCCACCATCTTTTCTTGCCCGCCCACCTGCCTCCCTCCCTGCTGCCTGCCTGCCTGCCTCCCTTCTCCTTTCTCTGTCCTCCTTACCCCCTTTCTCCCTGCTCTCCTTCCTTCTTTGCTGCCTGCATTATCTGCCTCCTTCCCTCCCTCCCTCCCTTCCTACCTGCATCAATTACTTTCTGCCTTGCACCCTGCTTTTCCTCCCTCCCTCTCTTCCTTCCCCCCTTCCACCCAGCCTTCCTTATTTGCAGCCTGAGTTCCTCCCTTCCTCACTCACTTTTTCACTGCCAGCCTGCCTCCCTTTCTCTCTTCCTCCCTCCCTTTCACTCTTCCTTCCTTCTTCACTGCCTGTGGTGTTGCCTGCTTTCCTGCA